ATATAAAGATGTTTCTTTTGATTTTGTCGTGAAAGCAGGTGCTCGACGTTGAAAAAAGTTTGAATGTTTTAACAATTGGAAAGCCGGAAATTAAACATCGGACGACGAGATTCTTTATGGAGTATATTGAAAGTATTAATGCATTTTTATGAAATCATACACGACAAAGCATTTATCGGGTTTTATACTCGTACGTTCATCGTTTCATTATATGAATTATCGATGGGCATATTTATTAGAAAAAAAGAAATATTTGAAAAGAATAGACACAACGAATCTTTGAAATCTATCTTACGAAGATGTGTCTTATGATGTTTATTAGGACAAATGATATAATAGATATCTCATATTTTTCTATTATTTTTATAATTGAAGAAAGAATTTCAAAATATTAGAAAAACATTCTATTGGCTGTGTAAAACATTCTGTTGCATTTTCCGCGTCGCATCTGTAGTTTGGTTCGGGATACGTCGCGTGTATTCGTACAGGAGAAAAAAAAACAGAAACGAGAGCTGAAGTTTGCGATTGGTCCATTGGGGTTTCAATAAAAGAGCGAAAATGTGCTTTGGGAGAGTGAGCCAAAGATATGAAGAGTGTTCGCTAACGTGTACAGATTTATTGAAAAACATTTGTGCATGCAATTGTTACGTCTCTCTTTCATCCCTATTTTTCTCTTTTTTTTGTTTTTTTTATTTTTCTCCGCCTCTTTTATTCTGTTTAGTGGTAGCACATGCATGGTGAAAATTTACATTGAAGCGCTTAAAAAAACTATGTATCCGGACTGCGAGACCTTGAATAAGTATTTTCTTCTAAAAGGCAAAGAGAAAGCATGAGGCGATATACACGGCTCTTTTGCGATTCAATTTTTATTGGAATTTTGATCAAATCAGCAATTAAATAGCAATAAATTTCTCGGAGGTGGGTAAAATACATATTATATACGCGCAAAATTAAATCGAGAGACACTGGCGCGTTGTTATCTTACATTTTCCATTTCTTGAAATATTGATTTCTCGCCCCGGCTATTCTCCGCGGGCTTGCAGCTGTACAGGATCTTAATGGCTCGATTTTATGGAAATCGCTGTAAGCTTCTGCCAGCTGTTTCCATTACGTCTCCGTTATGTTCTGTAAAACCTTCGCGCCTTCAGCTCGCAGTTCTTACTACGCGCTCGCTTGCGCAAGAACGTCATAAAAGAATTTAATCGAAAAAGATAATTCAAACAACGGAGAGAGCAAGGGCCTCTCTGCCTTGATATCCGCAGTGCGTGTGTCAGATAAAAAACTATATTGAACGAGCGATAATTCAGTTCTGCGGAAACGAGCTCTTCCACTCTCTCTTTCTCTCGTCAAAGATACGAAAGATATTGCACCTTCCACGAGCACGTATTTGTAAAAGAAACATTCGGATTAAAAATCAATCGCGCTAGCTCCGTTCGAGCGAGTTATATCCGATCCATTCTCGGAACCTATTGTAACTCGAGCTAATCTTATCATAAAAGATCGTTATACCCCGAAGGTTCACCGCGAATGTCCGATATTGTTAAAAATTAGGCGGGAGGAGATACACGCGGTATCGGGCGGGAGGAAATGCTGATTTGAGAGACGGCGAATCTCCATCTCTCAGCTTTCTCAGAATAATAAATATGCATGCCGCCGAGAGGCATTAGCGGGAAGTAACTCTTTCCTTTGGAGAAATGCAAAAACATGCGCGGCGCATCTAACCGGGAAAGTATTGTTGCTCCGGTGCGCTTTTATATTCGCTTGTAAGATGTCCAGAGTCCCGAGATAAATGGGAAAAGGAAGCACATTTTTAGCGACGATGAACGATGTACGATATGTACCATTTGATGCCACCGATATTATATCGGATTGTTCATTGATAATTTGATCTTAGCGGCAACGCCTACGACATGACGTGAGAGATATAAATGATATTCTTGACATATTAAAATTTCTGAATTTCATAATTTTGTGCGAAGCAAAACAAGATGTGTGGCAAAAAGCATCATATAATCCCGTGAAAATATATCATAGCGTTAATCCCATTGAATAATATGGATAATCCGTCGAGTTATGCACTGTGCACGTAGAATGGAAGGAACGAATAAACGAAATGAGAGGAGGTAGAAAGAAAAATAGGACGCAGAGAGAGGGAGATTTATAGGACAGACAAAAGGAAGGGAAAGCTAGTTTAAACGAAACATTACGGATTAGATGCCTTTACGTGGTATATAATGATCGTTATCGATCTCAAAAATTATATACTATTAATTATTATATTTAATGATATTATATAATATTTGTTGCATAAATAAGATAAAAGGTATATACAAGAAAGTAAAAGTACGTAGTCAAATAATTATAATTTTATTAAACAAATAATATTTTAACAAGAACGTTTATAGGATATTACTAAACTGCTTAATATTTTCTAAATTAATACCACAGAATGCTAAACTACGTAATAATTTGATATAACAAATGTATTACTTATAAAGTGAATAATAATAATTTTATTATATTGCTGAATTTAAAAAATTTAAAATTAATATAATTTAAATGAGAAAATTAAAATTAATAATATTTCTACCTGATATTACATTTACTTTGTTTAAATTTTAAATTATATAATATAATATGTTTAATTTTTTTGTTTTAAAACAATTATTTTATTAAATAATTTTAGTAATAGCTGAATAATTTACACGTACGTTAGATAATGAATAATTATCGCCCGAATAAATTATTATTAAAACAGTTACAATTAAATTATAAAAACAAAATAAGTAGCAAATTATTTGAAACAGTATTTCTTTATCCATAGGAAATCTTAATCAATTTATTATTTTATCAACTAGGTTTTACTATATATCTTGAAATTGTGTGTTTATATAATCAGAGAATAGAAGTGATAGATAGTGATATCATGAGATTATGATTTCCAACATTTAAGTGTCCGAATTTTAAAACTTATTTTCCGGCAGATAAGCAATGGAAATTTCGTATACGAATGGTAACGTCAGCGGCAGGTAACAATCTTGTTTTGATTCTCATTGTTTGTAGGGTCATAAAATGATTTATTAGAGATTATATTGGACAAATCAAGTATCGATCAAATCATTTTTGATGTCTTGATATTGTTTTTTTGAAATGTACGGCACATAATTGCGACAGACGATTTTAAACAAAATCTAAGCCAATGTTAAATATTAATAAAAATATATATTTTTTAATATCAAAAAATTATGTGTTCAATAATGCGTTAAATACACACAAAAAAAACTCTGGAACAATACTATCTTACGACTTTTATAATTCTAAATGTGAAATTATACGAATAATCGTAAAAATCAAGTTATTCACTCCAAATCTAAGTGTGTAAATCTGTAGTCACTTTTTACGCATTTAAACGCGTGTTATAATTTTACACATTTTATCTGTGTT